TATCAAACTGAATTTTTATTCAATAAAAATCTTTCAAATGCGACTGTAGCTTTTTTTTCCCCCAAAACATTGTCTTCAAAATAAGGGTGCGTCTTATACACCGATGAGTCTTATATTCCGAAAAATACGGTACATACCTGCTGGACTGAAACAATAAATTTCAAGAACTTTTGGGTTAAAATATTTGATTTTATTAATAACATAAAAAAAATCTTGAAACCTTATTTTTCAAGTAACTGTCTTTAATATAACTTTTTTTCTCTAGTTCATAAAATAAACTGATTCTCTAAGATATTTCTTTATGGTTGTGTTACAAATAGAACCAAATTTTCATGAACAATAATTAACGTCAGAGATGGGAATAATGATGCAAAGTATTGATATTTTGATTCTAAACAGAGATCAGGAAAGAAATGTTTTATAACTCATTTAAAAAATCAGTTTCCGAAGAAACTATTAATCAAAGTTTCAACTTATTCCTTTTAATCTAAACTCATTAGAACACTCTTTAAGTCTGTCATCATGATTCTTGGTTGCTCATTCTTTAACACCATCTGTTTTAATTGTAAAAAATCAAGTTTACGGCTAAAAATGTCATTAACAGTGAGGGGTACCCAACTGATGAAACAAAGCATTCCAATTTTTGTAAGAAAGTGAGTAAGAAAAGTACATTTAATTAACCAGATTCATTACCAAGTTGGCTTTTAATTTTGTTTTAAGTAGATAGTCTGCTGTGATTGGAAATGAATTTGCACAGTTCTGATGTAAGCTGTTTGTTTTTCTAAACTGAAGTACACAGTTTATAAGCTTTTTTTTCACTATTAGTTTACTTTCGTCTTGATAGCTTTTTAATATGCCAAAGATGAATCATCTGTTTCAAGAATAAATGAGAAATACATATATATATATATAATAATAGACAAATTAAAATGCATCCTAATACTATGAAGAGTTAACATCTGAAGTTAAACCTTTTGAAGAAAGAATCAGTGTTGTCTTCTGTGGTATCACCCACCACTCATTAAAATAGCTTGTAAGCTCAACAAGTTCTGCATCCCTGTGCATTCAGCTATTTACTTTCAAAAATACATATTTCTGACATGTGATAATTACAAAACTAAATTTTCTGTGAATTAAATGTTTCTTGTAAAAAAAAGAAAAATAGTACATCTTTCTTATGCAACCAAGGATTTCTTGTAACCATATTAACTTGCTTAATTCCCAAACATTACTTCAGACTTTATAACAATTCACTAGACTATTATTCAAATAAAATATTTTTACCCATAAGACATACAATTACAGAAGAAACATCCTCTTTTACCTGACAAAACTTTCTTGTAACTTAAGTACAGTATAACATAAGCATGATAGATACAAATAAGTGGTATTTAACTTCTGTGGTGCTTATTAGTGTATACAAGACATTTTAATACTAGAAATAAATGACCTTATAACACCAAGTTGTTATATTGGACACTCAACATTTCACTTTACCACTTCTTCATTCCATGTTATATTTGAAGATGTACTTGGCCAATAGGTAAGAAATAAACATCATAATAATGAGAGATTTGAGGAAAATATATGTAGAGTTTGATTACGAAAAATGTGGCCAAAGAAAAGAGCTTGACATAGCTCTTTCAATACAAAGCAAACAACAAGTGTTCTGACTAAGTCTTATTTCAACATGGTCACCTTTCATGGCTTTCAACAATAATGTGGCAAAACAAAAATTACACTGGCCAGTTAGTCTACATTTAAGTTCAAGCTCTGCCGTACTCCCCAGAATGCCTCAAATCCATGCCAAGAGACTAATCTCATTCTTAAAAAAGAGGAAAATATATTTTCTTGTTATTATCTTTGTCTGTATTTTATATATGCCAAATATTATGACAAAAGGATTATCAATTGATCTTGTAAACTGACCATATACAGAAGCAGACACTGCTATTCTACTGCTGGCCATGTGAAAGATCCTAAAGTCAGCAATAAGCATCATTCACAACTAGTTTGTGTTGAGCTTATAATTAAACAAACACAACTTGTACAGAGATTTTGAGAAATTTTATTTGAATAAAGACAAATGAATTTTCTATGTTGTGAAAGGTTACTGCTATATTATTTGCATATTATTCTTAACTAACATACACATTAGCCAAGTATACTTCATATACAACAGAATGTATTGCAAACTTTTCATTACTTCAGTTATACATGTCACATTTAGTTTTACTTAGAAATTGCCAAAAACAAGATCCAAAAAAGATACATTAATGGAAATAAGTAAATGATTTCTAAATACACATAAGGAGAATGAGAATTAAAAGTGTTTCAAAAATTATGATATCATAGAAATAAAATTTTAAAGTTAGTTTTTAATAAATATTTTATATACAATAACAAGTAAATGATGGGATCAAGATTTTATGGTTATGGTCCAAAACACACTGGCTATTTAATTCAGTGTATGATCAATTAATATCAAAGTCTGCTATTTGATGTTTTTACAGTCTTGGAGCATAAAGTAATTTGACAATTATTGTTGAATTATAATAATTCTTGTGTTAATTTGAATATATCATTTAATATACATTACTGAAGTTTGTTAAATTTTACATTTTATAATTAAAATTAATTTCTGAAATACAAAGAATATTTCTTTGTTGAGTTGCTCTCACGCTGTCAACAAATGACTAAACCTTTATATGGTCTGGACATAATGCAAAGCATGCAAAACCTATCCATAGTTCTCTACTCTCCGAGAAATATTGTGTTTATATCAGGAGAATATATACAAGTTCTGCATTTCCACCATAATTCATATTTTGTTGTGGAAACCACATATCTCCCAGTTTTGGGGAAGTGGGTGGTATTGTATTTAATAAAATATTTGAAATCTATTTTAATTCTAAAAAAGGTAAAATTCAAAACACACTCTTACAGTACCGCTGAAATAAGAAAAGTCAAAATATCCACTCTGAAATGGAAGAGCAATATGAAAAGTGTCATAAGTACCAGTGGATCACTTAATTTTGGATTTTTAGGCAGGTATGTAACAACCTAGACCACGATAATTGAAAATGCAATCAAACAGGGCTGAACTAGTAGATTGAATGAACTACATTCATGAGAGAATGAGCAGAGCATCCTTATAAAAGATTGGACAAAATGAGGACACTGAAAAAATGCATTTTTCTCAGCAGTGTACCTCCTTGTCCTTACCACCCTTTAAATAATATATATATATATAAAGGATGGTTAGATGGTATTTATATTCACCTGTGGAACCATCAGTATGTGATGGTGTGGAAGCAGATGGTGGCATAACAGATAGTAACAGCTATTGACTGGACAAGGCTGGTCAAGTCACAACACCAGTTCAGTCACAAGGAGCACAGATAGAATGAAAAAAAAAAAGAGGAAGACACAAGGATATGCTACAAAACAGTTGAACAGTGTCATTGGAACATCAAATAGATTAATATAATAAAATATTAAGGTGTTTCCCATCCAGGATGGAGTTAGAAGACTTCATATAGAGAACAGTCCTATCATCTCTGATGTCTCTAATGCCAAGCAAGAACACGGGACAAGTACCTACTGATGCATCATCGGTCACTAGATAACATTCTCTATTTACATCTAGAGGGCCTCACCCTTTCGTGAAGCACCAGCACAGAGGGTGGAAGTTTTCTCGAACAAGCAGATGGGTATATATATATATATATGACACACTAGAGTCCCAGTTGGATAAATCCCTTCAAACATAGTCTTATCATTTTTTTTTTTTTTATAAATTCATAATTTCAAACACAAAACTGAAAATGGATTTCCAAACATATATTTACCTCTGCTGACACTAATAGCTATTTCTCAATCTTCATCTTTGCCATCTAACGATGTGTTCGCTTGCTCCAGTCTTTATATACCTCACTCGACTGCCTTTGGCAATATCTAATTTGCAAAACTTTAAGCCGGCCTTCACACAACCTCTATGCAGGGACTATATATAATCACTGTATGCAAACAATAAAATCACTTTTTCGAGACTTACCACATTCCGGTCACTAACACTGGCTCTTAGTGGGGAGGAAG